TTACGAGGAGAGAATTTGATAGGTGGTGTTTCCAAACTACCTGAATCGAAGTCCGCCGCATGGGTCAAGATCCCTGTTGGGGCACCTCAAGTTTTCTGGCTTCGCGGTCAAGACACCGGTTGGGATATTTCGAGTTTTGTGTCTTCGTGCTCAAAGTCGTGGGATTGGGATACCTCAAGTTTTGTTGCTTCTTGGTCAAGATCCCGGTTGGGATACCCCAAGTTTTCTGCTTTCGTGGTCAAGATCCCGGTTGGGATATCTCAAGTTTTCTGGCTTCGTGATCCTGATCCCGGCTGGGATACTTCAAGAGTTGCGGCTTTGTGGTCGAGATCCCGGTTGGGATGCCAGAAGTTTTGTGGCTTCGTGGCCAAGAGCCTGGTTGGGATACCTCAAGTTTATTTCTTCGTGATCAAGATCCCGGTTGGGATACCTCAAGTCGTGGTCAAGATCCCGGTTGGGGTGCGTCAAGTTTTGTGGCTTCGTGATCAGTATCCCGGTTGGGATACGTCAAGTTTTGTGGCTTTGCGGTCAAGATTCCGGGGTTGGGATACCTCACCTTTCAAATTGTTTGCAAGATCGTGGTTGGAATACCTCAAGTTTTGAGGATCGTGGCCAAGATCCCAGTTGGGATACCCCAAGTTTTGAAGTTTCGGGGTCAAGATCCCGGTTGGGATACATCGAATTCGGTGGCTTCGTGGTCCAGATCCCAGTCAGGATACCTGAAGTTTTGTGGCTTCTTGATCAAGATCCCAAATGGGATACCTCAAGTTGCATGGCTTCGTGGTCAAGAGTCCGAGTAGAATAGCTCAAATTTAGTGGCTTCGTGGTCAAGACCCGGAACGGGATACCTCAAGTTTTGTGACTCCGGTGTCAAGATCCCAATTGGGATACCTCGAGTTGCGTGACTTCGTGGTCAAGAGTTCGGTTGGGATACCTCAAGTTTTGTGGCTTCGTGGCGAAGATCCCGGTTGGGATACTTCAAGTGTTGTGGCATCGCGGTCACGGTCCCGGTTGGGATACCTCAATTTTTCTAGTTTCGTGAACGATGATGAGAAACCTTGCAAAGTCCCTCTGTATACCACAAACCTTTTGAATCAACACTCCCGAACGGTGCAGTCCAAGCTTGCGAGAACCGCATTTTTCTGTTCATTCATGCGACATGCAACACAGGCGCTAGCATTTACAACCGATCGCAGCCGCTGCCCAAAGCTCTCAAAGTTCTCACTGTGACTTTCCTGTCCGTTCTGCCGGTCGCGTGCTCGGTCGTAGACCTTGTAGTTCTAGCTCATGCATCTTGGTCGTTTCAGGTACTATGGCCGCCCTTCCCGGCTCCGGCCTCAGATGATAGTCACGGACCCGACAGACCTTCCTCGCATGCAGGACCGATTTATGCCGACCCAGCTGTTGAGATCGATTTGGAAACCGACGACGAGCCGCAGATGGTGCTGCTGCCTCAGACCGGGTTGGTTGCCTTACATTTTTTTCTGGGTGGTTGCATCTCGT